CCTAATCCTTAACCTTTTGGTGTATGTATATAAGTAAAAAATGTGTTATTTAACGAACGTAACAAGAATAATTATCAAAGTGATGTACGTTGAGTAAATAAATGGATGCGAACGAATTACTGCTTTCATCTTTTCTCCTTTCGTTTAATTCTCTCCTCTTCTCTTATTTTTCGATTTTCTGCTTTTCCAGATAAACGAGTTCACCTGGATGGTCGGCCTCTTAAACGACTATATACCTTCATTGATAGAGGGGATAAGTGATGCAGGTGGTATGAAGGAGGGGATCCTATGGTGACCTAGTTTCAAAAGTAGTGACGTCGATGAGAGAGACCATTCACCCAACAGCATACCGCGTTAACGTCAAAAGTGGGTTCGTTTCTTAAATATAATGTCAAAACATATCATCGTGTGGTTGATTATGTAAAATAAACCTATTATTTTTCACTCCATTCTTTCCAACCACTTATGTACATGAATGCAAAGAGAATCTCAAATGTCAACTTGTTTCGTTGAGGATCATCTAACAAAAACCGATACTGATTTGGTTTCATTCAGTAGTTTATTAGGAGTATACGATTTTAATATCTGGAATTATATTATTCAATATCAATTTCTATAACGGAATTAGTATCTTCTATGTATTAAATTTAAAAGGAAACTAACAAAAATATATAGCGTGAAATTAGTTTCAAAACAAACGTATTTGTTAAATCGATTTTACTATTAGTATTTTTTATTAAGCATCAATCGTATTAGATATAAATGGATATAATTACTTTCCATCACAAAATATCGTTAACCAATTTAGATCTACCTATTTGTGTGACCTTTCAATTTCAGCCAATTTCGAACCTGTTTCTTCGAATTTGCTTTCAGGTTAAAATAGAACGTAGGTAGAACGTAACAGTAGATAGAAAAATCGAGATAACACAAATACAATAACAGAAATATCAACAAGCTCTGTTTTAGATATGAGCTGATAGTTCCTTATGAATGATAAATAACATGCATCCTAGTATTATTAAAGTTTTTCTTATCTACGTAAGAATTTACATATGTATTGTAGATAGAGAAAGAAAAAGTATGTATAAATAAATAATGACGACAGTAGTGTATACTAAGTGATTTTATAATTTATAAAATATTAAAATAATAAATCTTCCATTATATAGATAAAACGAACTGTTATGCAATACTTATAAATATATCACTTGTATATATATGTAAGTACATACGATACAATAATCTTATAATTTTCGTTGTGAATGTAACGATAAAATTTGAAACTCTAAGTTGCATTAGTTTCTAGACCCTTTTCCTATCCTTTTCGTAATAGGGAGGAAACCCAGACAGGAAGATCACGAACTTCCGGCCTAAAGAGAACTTTAACAAAGCAGGTCGAAGAAAAGAGAACGTCTTGCTTACAAATATACACACAGACATTTTAAATCTTCTTTCTATTCTACCCATCTAACATAACCTATGTATACAGGCATACCATATATGCACCAAGGAGACAGTCAAATGTAGTCCATTATTGAATGAAATTGTATGCCTCACTTTTCTACACACACACACACACACACACACACACACACATATATATATATATATATATATATATATATGTGCACACAAATTTACCTTGGAAACATGATCAACTCAAATACTTACTATCTCAGATGCATTCACATTGTAAAGCGTAGGTGGACACAAGGGGTTGAGTTCCGAATATATCTCACGAAGAGAGAAGAGACCTGCTTCTCACTGAGTCATTTCCGGATGGAAAATGGACACCTGCTTGTCTGCTTATGTTTTGCTGACTAATCCATGGTTAAACGACTCGGCTAACTTCCGGTCTGCTTGTCAGCTATCCTCAAGACCATCTGTGGACATTTATAGCTTTAGCAAATTTGTGATTCAACGAAATGGAGCTACATAGATATTAGATGGTTCGATACCATCGTTTACTTTTTATTCCTAAAAAGACCTACCGTTTATTCTCTGAATAGAGAACTTTATGGTTTAATAGGAAGGATCTTTTTGTATTAATTGTAAAGCAACTTTCTTTCACATTTCCTATCACGATCGAACAATTTTATGTTTATTTCAGTAAACATTGTGAACCACTCTTTAATGACGATACTAACTTATTACGAATAAATCTTCTTCCTTTTTTTTTTTACCTCGCCGTCGATTAAAAACGACGACCCTCTGAGTGAGTTTAGAAACGATTAATAAAAAATGTAAGTTAAAAATGGCCCCTACTTAAAAGAAAGAGAAAGAGAGAGAGAGATTTTTTAAATGAAGTACCTCGCAAATTAGAGACGACTATAAAGAGTAAAAAACTGAGTGAAAAAAGAAATATGGAATTGCTGGTTATTCGTGTAAGTGAATAATACCGATACAACTATATCATCTTTAAAATCCTTAAAAACAAAAAAAACAAGAAGAATAAAAACATTTATTTTTTATTCTCACGTTTGATCTATCGAACGTGACATATAAAAATCATCTTCCCTTATCTTTTTTAATACTCGGAAGATAGATTTATTCCGGATATTCATGACGTCATTCTTTCAAAGATACTCAAATCAAAGTCACGACTTTTCAGATGGACGTGTGGAAAAATCCGATAGGTGACAAAAGTATCATAAAATTCTACAGATATATTGTATTCAAAAGATTTTTATTGACATCGTAGTTACGTGTTTTCGTTTTTCGGAGACAAAATTGCATTGGAAAATTTTATGGAAATGTATGGTATGCATATCGTAAAATAGCTTAATTTAATATAAAATTAAACAAATAAATATTTTTAATCATTAAAATGTTGTGTATAGGTAGGAGCATGCATATAGCAGATTCTAGCATGCACCCACAGTATTGTAATGTTTATCAATAGCTATTCATGTGGAATATACACATAGATTTCGTCGAGTTATGTGAGATCAATTTGTAACGTCTATATGCATACGAAAATATATCATATTCCATTCTCACTTGATGTTGTTCAAAAATAAAAAAGAGAGAGAGAGAGAGAGAGAGAACGAGTTATGATCAGTTGAAAAGTGCATTGAGAAATTCTATTCGTTCATCGAGCGATGCGACGCGTGAATCGACGAGAGTCGACTAAGGGGGTTGGTGGGTGTTACTGGTTGAGGGGTGAGTTGAGTGTTGGGTGGTAGATACTAGGCGGTGGGTGGATGGATGTTGGTGAGAAGGGGAAGAGTGGAGAGAAGCGTGCGTGCGTTTTCTGGAGCAGAGAATCGTTTTCATGATTTAACCAAGGGGTTGAGGGAGTAAGTTGGCCTGGTAACCCACTTCATCCCCGGGGGTTGAATGAACGGCACTGAACGCGATGACGTCATTCTCGACCTCATTTCCGGTTCCTGGTGCAGCTAGCTTCTATCCCGGCAACTCTGTCCCGTTGACCCGAAATTTCTCGTGAATCGAAGAACGCTCGTTCATCCCGAGCCGGAGCATGAATGAATTTTCCTCGTGTATTTGTTGCGACTCGATGAAAACGGGGGAGGAAAATCGGAAACCCCGCAAGAGGGGTACTTCGTGATAATATTAAAATAATATCTGTTATAATTAAGCAAAATTAATCGTATCTACCGTGTTTATTGTTCATAAGTTTTCTGATTTTTATTTAATTGACCAAAATAGATGATACAATATTAAGTAAAATTATATAAAATTTAAAATATTATTTATGTTAAACTTTAGTAGGAAAATATTCGAAACTTTAGAGACGATTTAATATACGGTAAAAACTTCAAATTTTTAAATTAATAGTAAAAAACATAACTGTCCCAAATAAAAAAGTTTTCGTATAGTATAACTAACAATTTCTACTGCACATTTTCACTATTTTGTAAATATTTATAATATAAGAAATAATTTATGAAAATAATAAGTAGAATTCTTTATCCATATAAATGAGGCATCGATAACAAATAATTAATTATGATTGAAAATATCGTAAAATTAAGTATACCTCTTTATACCTGACTCGGACACGTATCAATACATTATCCGAATTAATGGCTGACAACCAAAAAGTAGTAAATATCATAGTACAATGTCTATTATAATAAATAGTTAATCTAAAAGCAAACATAGTTTCTATTTTAAATCAAAGGTCATCTTATAATCATGCTTAAACCTGTCTTTCATCATCGATGAAGGAGATAATTTTCTTTCTTTTTTTCTTTACCTTTTTGTTTGTTAGACTAATAATAAAAGTTCTGAAGTTACTTGGTAAAGCAGGTGTTAAAGCAAACGATCATGTTGACCTAACTGTACCTTTCCATTGACGGGATCGATGTCATGGGGTGTTCCATAGGGATTTCGGTTAACGAAGCACATTGTTGTCCTGAAATCTATAACATGAATAGGATGAAAAGCACCTGAGGGCTGTTCAATTTTCATTTTTTAAGAAAATAAATCTGAAAAAATATGACCCTTGCTAGTTTATGTCCATAATATGTTGATTTTAACAATATTTTCTTTTTTATATTTAACAAACTTCAAAATTTCATGTGCTAGAAAATTTCTACTGTTCGTATATCGTTGATATTAATACATTCATTTGTTTTTTCATTCTTCAACTTTGAAATACAAACAAAAGGAAAAATCAATTAGCATTAATTTTGTTTGATCAATTAACACAATGCGTACGATACATTTTAGGGTGCCTCCAAAAAAATCGAAAACATAAAAACAAGATATCTCGTCACTCGTACGGAATTTATTTAATATATTTGTAAAAGAATTTAATCGAACGTTAAACTTTTAAACGAACTTTAGAACTTTCATAGTAAATACGATACATGAAGAATATATTTGCTCTAAGATATCTTTGATGTTTATTGACCAACTAGGAATGTAGAAGACACGTCATTATTAAGTTCAACGATTAAGTAACATCACATGACCCTGATAAATTAAGTAAAAAATTTCCATGCAAACGGCTTATAAATAACCGGAGAATCTACAGCTGTTTTTAGTATGAGTTTTGATCTCGAATTGAGAGTGTTAAAGAGTGTTAGAGTATTGTCTTCTGAAAAATATTAAAAAAAAAACATGGAGTATCTATCGTTCGATCCATCAAGTAAAACGCTAACTTTGAAAAGGACATCGATTCCTATTCCAAAACCGGACGAAGTTCGAATTAAAGTCGCTTATTCTGGAATTTGTGGGACGGATTTGCATATTTTGGAAGTACGTCATTTAATTTTAAATTGATAATTTTGTCGCGAGAATTCTCGTTACGTCACTTAATTGCCTTTAATTGTAATTGAATTAACTGCTTCATTTGATTACCAAATTTAAATATAGGAACAAGTGAATTATATTTATTTTTACGTACATGTACCGAAACGCGTCATGCTTCTTTCATATATAATTTTTTTAATTAAATATTTTTTACATCTTACACACATTCACAAATTATACATAATAAATTAAATTCCAAAAAGTTGTCTTTTTGTTTTTTTACGTTTTATGTTTCATTTGCTATCATTTATTCATTTCACTGTTTATTATTATCGCGAAAGAAGTTGCAACTCAAATTATCACGAAATGTTTGATAATAAAAATATAATAAATATTTATATGAATTAAGAAATATTTTTTTTATGTAAAAACATAATTGAATCGATATGATTTAAGTGAATTTTATATACTAATTCATATTAAATTTAATAAAAATAATATTTTACACACAGGGTGCATTTACATGCAAGCAAGATGGACCTTTTACACTTGGACATGAATTCTGTGGTATAGTTGATGAAGTTGGAAAAGCAGTAACTAATTTTAAAGTTGGTCAAAGGGTTACGGTAGATCCTAACAATGGATGTTATAAGTGTACTGATTGTCATGTTGGAAATTATCATTTTTGTAAAGACGGTGGATTAAGAAACACTATTGGTATTTTTCGAAATGGTGGCTGGGCAACTCATGTCCTTGTTCCAGAATCTCAGGTACATTTACATACAAGGAAAATGATATTTTTATCAAATCTATCTCATTATGTTAACTTATAAGTACATATATGTAATAATAGATATTAAATAATAATAATAATTTTAAGGTATACTTAATACCGGATAGAGTTCAAATGCATCAAGCTGCACTTGCAGAACCATTATCTTGTTTGGCTCATGGATTAAAAAAGATTGGTACGATACATGTAGGATATCAAGTTTTGGTTATGGGAGCAGGTATCATTGGTCTTCTCTGGTCTTGCTTGTTACATCTTCGTGGATTACGAAATACAGTAACAATTAGCGAGCCTCAAGAAAAACGAAGAAAGATGGCTTCTCAACTTGGTATATATATATTAATAATTGTTAATTTCAAAAACTATTTTTATCATAACTAAACTACTTAAATATTTTCAGATTTAAACTACAAGCTAAAAGAACCTAATCAACTTGCAAATGATGAGTTTGATTTAGTCATAGACTGTAGCGGTTCTGGTCCTGCTATGGAAGCCGCTATGAATTTATTAAAACCTGGTGGTTGTCTTTGTGTTTTTGGTGCAGCTAATCCTAAAACAAAAATGTCCATCGAACCGTATAAAGTAAGGGTATACCGTATAAAGTATAACCGTATAAAGTAAAAATTATATACAATTGTTTGACTTTTTTTTTTAAATTATACTAATTATTATTTATTTATATAGGTATTCAAAAAAGAATTATCTATTGTGGGAGTGAATATAAATCCTCATACGTTTCCTAGATCATTGGGTCTTTTGGAAGCTATGGGTGATCAATATTTGGATTATGAAAAATTAGGTATTAAAGTTTATACGCTTTCACAATATCGTGAAGCTTTGGAAGCACTAAAAAAAGGTGACATTAGTAAAGCTGTATTTAAATTGTAATTCTTGTATATACATTGAATAAGGTTTATTAATCAAATTAAGAAAAGATTGCCTTGAAAATTATTCTTATTATTTTATATTAATTATACCTACATGAAATTTTATTCAAACTTCATTTATTTATGTATTTTATACTCGTTTCCCGCCAATTTTAACCGCCCTCATACAATGATACCAAATTAAAAATAAAATAAATCGCGCGGTTGCATGTATAATATAATAATTTTTTAATTCTACTTCTATTTTCTATATATTACGAATTTTTTAATTATGCACTATAACTAATATACAATTTTTCCATGAATGTATGTGTGTAATTCTAATTTAAATAATATATTCAAAAATATTCATTTCAAACATTTATTGCTAAACCGTACACTAGAGCACTCTGGATTGATAGAATGTACTAAATTGTGTGACAGGTCACGATTACCAACATTCAACGACCAATCAAACACGCCCTTACATTAATGAGAAAATTTTAAATTTATAAATAAACTGTAATCGAAAATAGTTCATTTTCATATTTTATCTTAACATTCAGAATAATTATCTTTAAAAGATTTTTATTTTATTAGTAAGGTTATGTTATTTCATGAGAAATTAACCTATAACTATGGAGGGTATAGGTAAGGAGTATCATCTCATATGGGAGAAAATTTGAAAAAGTGTCCAGCATATGCTATAAATTACAGTTCAAAAACCTTCCAGAATGGCGCTGGTGTAGACAAAAAGTATGGTATGAATATAGCAATTGTAAACGAATTGAAGTATGCTGAGTTAAAAAATTTAATATTATTGGCGACTAAAGTAGTTGATTATTGAAAATTTCAACTTCTTGCGTAGTACAAAATAATGTAGTAAATATAACCTTAAAGAATTATGATGAGAAAACGTGTAGCTAGAGTGATTTTATTTCGTGAACTGTGAATAGTACGTTTATTGATTTTTTATCATTTAATTTTATGAAAAATTATGTGAATAACAAAACAGTTACGGGTAAAATTTGTGTTCTTTGTTTATTTCTCAATCCTACTCTAATAATATTTGGCGCTTCCTTCAAAAATTTATCCTGAAGCTACTGTGGCGCCACCCTAATTGAATGCATTTCGACGGACGACCATAACGAAGGTTTTTAAAAACTTACGTTTACGAATAGCCTTTGTAGAAAACTCAGTGCTTCGTTCAATTTGGTATAAATAAAACTTTAATTTATCTTATGTCTACCTATAAGAAACAATATCAACCATTATTAAGTTATTGGTTTCAATGGTAAGTTTATTTATAAAGATTCTATTATCTATTGGTAACTTAATTTTTTGTTTATTCCTTCTATTAATATTTTTCTAACCATAAAATAGGATTATGTTGATGTGCAAATATTGTTTTATGATAAAAATATTTGAGGTATTTAATATTGTATTAAAATTCTGTTATTAATAATGATATTTGTTTTTTAGTTAATAGTGTCACTTTGACACAATTCAAGTGATTAGTAAACATGGGCAATCCTACGAATAACTTTGAATGGGCACATAAATTGGAATGTCCTCCAACTGCGTGTACAGATACTATACAGAAAACGTTTGTTTAACATTTGTTGTTAGCATGTTAAAAATAAGTGCTATGCTTAATTATAAAATTAAGAATATATTATTATTTTTTACAGATTATCTAAAGGAATATTAGAATTACTATGGTCTGAAATAGGTAATGCAACATTTACGACTAAGGATGTTAATGAAGTAAGAAAAAATATATTATTGTATAAATTAAGACATAAAAAGAAAGACTCCACTATAGAGTGCGTTAAAAATATTGCATATTTAAAAGCGGAAAGAAGTAGACTCAAAATTTCTTCTTCATCGTTGAAAGAACAATACGAGGAACAAGATTTTTTAGTCCGTCAGAGAGGTATGAGAAAATTGTTTTTTATATATATATATATATATATATATAAAATGAAAATATATTAATATATAAAAATAAAACAATTTTATAGTTAAACATTTGGAAGATATTAAGTCGAAGTATGCTTTGGCTAAAATTAAGAAAAATTTATTAAAGATAAAATATAATGAAATACGTTCTCAACTTGATGATAGTAATAAAATGAGACTGATATGTCAAAAGTTAATGCCACAGACTTCGGAAGACTTGGATCAAAATATTTTAAAGCAAAGTTTAGATACGGTAACAACGCTTTGCTTTGGTGCAACCAAAAGAGAGGTATTTAATATGTTATATCAAAAATTATTTATATTAAAATAAAATATTAATATGAATATATGAGACGTTAGGTGAAAAGTGAAATATCGAATTTACTTGGTCATGTCAAAGTGTCTACGTTATGGACTCAATTATATCAAACATTATGCCAAGATGTTGAAAATTTAATAAAATTGAGAACTGTAACTGATATCAAAACTACAGACGATAACGTTGAAAGTGTAGATGCAAATGGGGAAGATATTGACGTTGGTATTGCTAGATTATGTGGAAAAAATATTTTTACTGTTTCAAAACAAATTTATTTCCATTTAAAAGCTAAAGAATATGAAAATGAAATTATGAAGTATATTACAAATATCGAGGTAAATAATTATTATATTTCAATCTGTTTAACACATTTGTTATCAGTGTTGCATATCTGTAAAACACCAATTTCCATTAAAACTTCAATATTATACATTTGTGACGATAATAGACAAGAAAATAAATTCTTGACTGTGGAAAAAATCTCTTTTTTTTGGTGTGGCTTGCTAGCAAATGTGTTAAAAAAAATTATTGACTCATAACATTTCATAAATATTACTTGCGTTTTTTTTTACTTTTAAAGACGAGTACTGAAAATCAAAATGACCTGAGTGAATGGTTAACTTTGACATTAGAAGTGAATAAATTGGAAACAGAGGAAAAAATTCTGCAAAATGAAATTAAAGTAATCCAATCGGAGTGCAATAACAATGCATCCAATTTAGAACTTCAAAGATTATTGTCGGAAATTCGCACGATTGACACAGAAATAGTAAGTTATATTGAAATTATTCGATAGTATTATATAAGTAATTATAAGAATTACACATAAACGTATTATTATAATAATAAGTATGTAATAGGACAAATGCGTGGAAAATATACAACGTTCGTTACAACTGTTGAAATCAGCCGAATGTATAATATCAAGGATAAAAAATAACATTCATACAGAGTGTATGAACTTTTTAGCTTTACGAGCCGACAATAGTAACTTTGAATGGTTGAATAAGGATTTAACAACCGAATTACAGATATTTTACGACGTCTTGGATATCAGGGCATTAAAAAAAATAATACTCCAAGGAGAAATCAAATCCTTCAGGTGAACATGCAATATATTTACAAAAATGTTTTCTACAAAAAATTTTTAACTAACGAAAAATCGTTTGAATTATTTGTTTCTTAGGCATGAAACACGCTGCTTCAAGGAAGCGTCCGTTTTAATGACAAATTTAAATGTACGTAATGTTATGCCTTATTTTCCGATGATAAAAGCGCCGATATATTGTCTGATAGACTGTTATAAAAATTTAATAACAAATTCAATGTATCAAAGTATTATACCAATAATAGTGGACAGCAATAATTCGCAAAATTTTATAGAAAACGGTTCTATTGAAGATCATAATACTATGAAATTATTGATATCGTCACAACATAACTGTTGTAAGGCACAAGAAGAAATCGATGAATTTTATGTTGCATTAAACGCCTGGTAAAAATGTCTTATACAAATATGAAATTTACATAAATCAAATTTATCTAAAATTCGTATAATATTTCAAATTATTTTCTTTTAGGAATAATCAAACAGTTCAAGAAGTTATGGCTATCGTAGATAAAACTGTGGATGATTTAACATTCACAGAATGGATGCAAAGATACACTTTATTATTGTATATGATTAACAGTGCTAATAATAAATGATGCACATATATATATATATATATATATATAATTTTATTTATAAATTTATTTATAAATTTATGATTCTCATAATAAAACACTGCCATGTTAATTATATTATGTAAATTATATATATACCGCCAAAGCAGTATTATATTTTTAACCTCTTCAGGAGCAAGCATTTTGAAAAAAAAGCGTCCAAGAAAAATCTTTTTTTTTTTCATAAAAACATAGTTTAGAACATTGTTTTGACAAAAAAAAATTTTTTAAATACAGAAATAATATTTTTATGTTAATTTTGGATTTTGTTCCATGGAAAAAGGTTATATTTTATTAATAAATAAATATTTATTATAGCTTGTAAATGATAAATATCAATAAAACGATTCTTTTTTTTTGCTTTCACATTCTTATTTTCAATTTTCTATTATATTTGATTGTAAAAAATCATAGAAATATAAAATAATACGCCGCTCGAGTTAACTCGAGCGTGCGGAAATCGGCCGGTTTAGGGCTGCTTAAAGGGTTAATGCGAATAAATCATACTTTTTATAAGAAATAAAAACATTAATATATTAAAAGCTTCACTGGTTATTACACTTTCAAAGTCCGGACCGAGTCAACTATCGATAATTGACATTCTTATGTTTTATTCTTTTTTTGTACTTTTGAGGTCCATAATGCCTTAATTTTAATATTGTTACAATTGTTACACAAAATTATATATATGTAAGTTTTAATATAAACTAAATAAATGAAATCGATGAAATGTCGGTAATATGCTCTTTCAGTCGCGTATCTACGTTAATCAAGGTCAACGATAATCGTTTATAATATAGTTTAACTCTTAAAATAAAAGTTACATAATAAAAAGAAAAGTAACTTCTATAAATACACCATTCGTATTCGTTAATATAAATAATATAAAAACTAATTTATTATTATATCTATCTATACTGACGTATACAAAACTATGATACATATATACATATAACATTTATAGACAAAAGAAAAAGAAAAGAATTATTTTCATCCGTCTCATATTTAATTTCGTTATCCTCATTACCCTATGAAAGATATTTAAAAAGTTTTGAGTGAAAGATTGTTGTCCATAAGTGCAAACGATGCGAGCGATGACAGCTGGTGAACCAATACACCATTGCACATGTTCATACATATATATATGTATATATAGATGCATACAAATATATCTTCCACGTTTTGGTATTTCAAGTTTGCTACGATATCCACGTGTAATACGTGTTGTGTTTATCTTGTAACCATAGTAATTTGAAAAACGATGTTCCTTGGATATTCATGTAAACGTTTCATGTGTATGTGAGGGGATGAAACCCTTAAGTACTCATATATATACACACACACACACATATGTATGCTGCACATGCATATACACATATATGTGATCTATACATACACGTTAAGAGAATACGTTTAAATGACATCCACGTTCTTCTGACATATAAAAACGTAATATATAGTACGATGACAATGTCAGGTATATACGCGTGACCATGTGTAGCATAACATATAAGCATGTATTCTCTAGCCACGAGGGGGTTGGTATATGTCACAGTATCGCCGCGGAAACGAGCGACGTGACATTCTTCTTATATATCCTCTGTCCTGTGTCACAGGATATAATACATACGTGGAAACAACGTTTCGTGTTGTATTGTCAATTTGTCAGCAAAACAATATCTTGTTTTTCTTGTTTTTTCTTTTCGTACGAAGGAGAACCATGAGAATTCTTACGATATCGAACGGTGGATAGACAAATGGATAGACAAATGGATAGATAAATGGATAGATAAATGGATAGATAAATGTAAAATACTCAATAAACGTATCCTTGAACTTGTTAGCTATTTTATTCAATTGTGTTTTCTTTCTTCTTCTATTTTTTTCTGTTGGGATTATTAATTTGATTATTTATTTGTAGAATAATCACGTTCATAATTTGGGGTATTTAAAAGGGGGCAAAAATAAGGAAGAATAAATAATAATAATAATAATATAATTTATAAAAGAATAGAAGAAAAGTTTAATTAGTATAAAATGAATTATTAATTAATTTTTATTTGTAAATAATGACATTCATGATTTGAGATCTTTAAAAAGGAAGAATAAATAATAATATGTTACAAATAAATGGTAAAAAAGTTTAGTTCGTATGAAGTGGTTAATACGTGACATTTTCGTAGTGTAAGGAAATAACAGTGATATTTAAAAAAAAAAGCAGAAATTAGTTAAAACTAACGATAAAAATGAACAGAACGATGAAGTACCTATAAGAAAAATGAAGATTAGTAAAATTTCAATAAGTCGTTTTGCAGTGACTATTTAAAAAACTTATTCTGTGCATATGTCTCTCATAAAAATACAAATATAGGGTGTGTAATAGTAGGAGAGTAGTAGTAATATAATAACATCAATCGTAACAATAGGATAAAGTCAAAGTAATAGAAAATAGGCTTGTGATCGTTTAATCTTGAATCGAGTAGTGTATTACGAAAATAGAAAAAAAGAAAGAGAAAAAAACTGGGAAAAGAAGGGACAAATAAATGGTCTAATGTGCGACGAATTATTCGAATTAGATGTTACACACTAACACATTCATAAGTAGAAGAAATTATGGTGTTAGCTACGGAATGTTACCGAAGTTTCTTTGCCCTATGAGTTCGACCAAGGCTACGTGATCATCCTGGTCTAGGCGGGGTCACCGATAACTATAGACCGAGTCGGTCTTCTTCCATTCATAATTAAAGAATAGTCCAGGCAACGAGGTCGACCACAGTCCTAAGTGATCACTTCTATGATCGATTCTTCTATTTTTTTATTTTTCCTATTTTTTTGTTTTCTCTTAACTTTTACTTTCTTTTTTAATATTAATTTATATTGATCAATTATCGAACAATTACGTGAACATTCCTTAGTGAAAGTGAGAAAATAACATGAAAAGAAAAATATAATGAATTAAATCGATATTTTGAAGAAAAGAGATTTTGTGTTGAGAGCTAGATTTGGTTTCGTAAAGAAACTTAAACCAAATCGTAGATATCAATCAAGTTTTTATTCTTCGATTCTCTCTGATTGGTTCTTCTTAGCATGTATCATCGGATGATGTACGAACATTTGAAGTAAAGATGAATAATTAATAAAATAGAATGAAAGAAGATATATTTAAATAATTTCATCGAAGTTTAAAAAAAGATGTGAAACAACTGATGTTGAAGGACTTGTTTTCTTCCATAAACATAAGTTAAATTATGGAGACCAGCCAAATTCTTATTCCAATAATCGATGATATAGAACTTCGTTATTAGGATGACTATCAATTACTATAAGTCAACAAGAATCTAAATTTTTGGCCAATGGTATTGTCGTCAACCGATAGATGATAGTCTTCCTGATTTTAAAATGGGTGATAGCACGCTAACTCTCGAAGATGAAACTCAGGTATTTCTTATTATAATTAACTTAACATTTCATTGATTTGGATTTTATTTAAAAAAAATCTATTTAATTTAATTTTTTACGTCATTCACAATAAATTAACACATTTTACGATTTTGGAACTTACACACTAGAAATCTCTCTAGTTTTGAAATATTTATGGTATGACTATAATAAAAGTAGGTATCTTATTTCTATGGTGATGAATACAAGAAATCGATGTGTGATGTTTTTTTTTTTTTATATATCATTGGAAAGTATTATATTCTTAATTTTTTGTTTTGTTTTGTTTTGTTTTATGGTTTCAGCAATTTAAAAAAAAAGGATCTTCAATTTTTCTTTCTTTCATTGCTTTTGAAAAATGTTTTATTTGTAATATTATATCTTTTGTGTTATAATTTGTTTATAGCGCTCTCCAATTTGTCACACAAAAGCGTGTAAACATAGTTTGATATAAAGTTTCGAAAATCAATATGTCAGAGAGAATGAAACTTTTATCGTATATTGGAATTGTTGCATGCGCGCAATGATTTTTTTTTTTTCTATTTAAGTAAATATCTAAACAATTGAGTCAATATTTATATTTATTATAAGAGAAAATCTTTCTTTAACGTTGATTAATCGTCGATCGATTAGAAGTTTTAAATTTAGTTATTGTTAGTGTACTTATCACGACGATTCAAAGAACACGAATGAAATAGGAAGTTGAGTTAGGTACCGATGATATATCAACTCGATCGTAAAACACCCAACCGTGAATTACAGAACGCTCACAGTAGAAGATCAAGCACCGTAGGTGACGCTCCACAAAACCTTTCCGAGCTGAGCATTGGTGAATCGCATTTGAGTGAAGCTACAAAATCGATTGGGTCTGCTGATGTATCATCGCATACGTCAACGAGATCTACACCAGGTACAAGTAACAAATCACGAAGCATCGTTTCAAGTACATCTTCGAGTAAGACCAAGACACCAACAACAACAACTTGGCACCGTTCGAGTAGGGAAACTCTTTACGAGCCAGATAAGAACGGTATTCAGCAATATCCTTCTATCGCCACGGAGAATCCATCGAAACCTGGATCGCCGAAAATTTCTAAGAAAGGATCAGCCAAAACTAACGTTTTTTCTTCTGGGACCAATGTGACGGCACGTGATGCGTTTGGTACGTTTTTTTTTTCTTTAATATTATTTTTATTTCTTCTTTTTTTTTTTTTTTTATTTGGTGTATACAATTTGTAGATGATCAATGACGAAACTAATTAGAAATTAGGATTTTAATGATGAATAATTTATTAAGATATTAAATGTTTCAAAATAATGACCAAAATTTGTATTATTTGTTTATCTTTCGAAAAATATGACTTATATTCACAACCTTCTTGCAATTTGGAAACGGAACTAGTATCTAATAATTTATTTTAATTATTAAATTACAAAAATTATCATATTAATGTGTTAAATGTCTCATTAATCATGCTTTTTTGAAAAGGTTGTGACAAAACAACACTTTACTTTCATTTTTTTTTTTTAAAGTTTCTCAAATTATTATTATAATGTTTCGTTTATTAAATCAAAAAAAAAAAATCCTTTTTCATCAATAAGAATAAAATCTTATGTCAAAAGTATGCTAATGAATTTCTTATTTAAGTAAGATTGTTTTGTCATTTGAATAAATTAAAAATCATGATAATTATTTTACATATAAATAGCAATAGCAATTCTTTTCGAATTAAAAATCACTTTCAATGACATCGATTATTCAATTCAAAAATAAATAATGAAAAAAAAAAATTGATTTAAAATTTACATCACGCAAAATTGAATACATGATTTAAAAATAAATTGAAGTACATACGTCAAACATATCTCTGTTCTCGATTAGTATGAAAATCACGTATCAATAATCACTTACTCGTACTACTCGGGACGTTAATCGTATCATAAATATGAAAGTAACGTGTCGTTTTGTCACATCCTTTCTTCTTTTATAAAGTTAATGATGTTTTTTTTGTCAAGGAGAGGACATAAAAAATATTCAATTATCGATAACTGCCCACACCCACACCCACACACACACACACACACTCACCTACACGCTCATGTAGTCCTACAATAATAATAATAACAAAAACATAGTTTCTTTAGATAAAAATCGATCGATTATGACAATAAATGATTATTAAATCTTTCGAACGAATTGTGTGTCATCCTTTGATATTATACACTAATAATAATTTTATTTTTTTTACTAAAAATCAAATTGAATGACACTTGCTTACGTAACGATAAACGTTCGTGGATAATTTCAAAGAATGTGTTATATAAACAACGAGTTATGTAAAATGAAGATACATTATATATAGATCATAACATCTATTCGAGATTATTATTAAAATAATTACACACTTTTTTTGTTGTTGTTATTATTAAAAAAAATATTAAAAATTCTAAATAAAAGAATAAATAAAATGAAAAAAAAAGGAATGCACATACAAACAGAATTTTACTATACACTTAACTAATAATTATAGGAAATAATGAGATTATATATGTGAATCACAAGTAGGAAGTAGTTAAAATATAAAATTGAAATTTAGTTTATTTTTCTTTTTTTATAACAATACTAATCCATTCTTATCTCTTCCTGTATTATAAAAAGTAATTTTCTATTAGTCATGTTGTTATATTGAATCAAATTTCAATGTTTTATACTTTATATATGATATACTTTGCTTAAATATTACATAATATATAAGGTTCTTCTTCTTCTTCTTCTTCTTCTTAGGATTTTGTCCTGTTATTCCTAATTTCACAGCCTAAAGAGGCCATTTTTTTAGTTCCGTGAGCGATTACTTTTTTTTACCGAGGGTAGGTTGCTAGCCTCACCCTCGAACCCTCCTCCTTTATCTGGGCTTGGGACCAGCTAGCTATTATCTAGATATCTAGATATCTAGATATTAACTAGGCGGAATTTATATAAGGTTATATATATTTAAAATTTTAACTTTTTAAAATAATTTTTACTTTAACCTTGGCTTATCACCATTCCTAGAGTAACACACTTACCACACCTGGGTCCTTTGGACCCGGGCAAGAAAAATTGTTATAAAAAAGAAACTATTGCATAGATTTACTTCAACATTTTTTTGAGACTTCTTTAATACTTACTTAAAAAGACTATATTGATTTTATAGCTTTAAATTAAATTTAAATATGTTTAAAAAATTACCAAAGTTGAACAATTGAGAAAAATGACTCAAGTTGCAAAAAAGGTCTGGGTCCTTTGGACCAAGTGTGGTAAGCAAAGGTTAATTATATATATATATATATATATATATATATATAATCTTATATATATAACATACTTGCTTTTTGTATATTCATATATTACCTAGTTAAAGTATGTAATTTTACCTTCTTTTACATTCAAACAAATCAGTATAGTTATTTTAAGGTTTAGCTAGTCATTTCATGAAATAACAGTAATATTATATATATATATATATATATATATATATATGTTAATGTATAAATACATATATAGATACATAGAGATATGATTTAGGAATACATCTGTCTTCGATTAGTATAAAACTACATACAGGTCGGTTATATACCGATCAATATGTATGCGAATGTCAGTATGTCACGAATCATTGCAGTTAATAATGCAATGTTAGACCTCGACATGGTCATAAAACTAGCAAAACTGATCGACAGTTGCAAATGTCTTCCTTTTTTTCTTTCTCTTTCTATATATATCCGTCTTTTACATATTGATAAATTTTAACCTGATATTGGTACATTTTGAACAAATTTTTCAACAGATTGAATAACTTATAAAAAAAAAAAAAAAAAAAAAATAAATGTAGAAAAATTTCTATGTTTAAAAAAAAAACTTTTTTAAAAGATTATTACTACCACTGTTACCATTACTGTTATTATTATTACTNACATGGTCATAAAACTAGCAAAACTGATCGACAGTTGCAAATGTCTTCCTTTTTTTCTTTCTCTTTCTATATATATCCGTCTTTTACATATTGATTATATGTTCACCCAAACGAAAAAATATGCAACAACGGATGGATAAAATTTGTTACGAAAAAAAAAAAAAAAAAAAAAAAAAAAAACAAGAAAAAATAAATGTAGAAAAATTTCTATGTTTAAAAAAAAAACTTTTTTAAAAGATTATTACTACCACTGTTACCATTACTGTTATTATTATTACTATACTACTACTACTTCTAGTAAAGCAACAGAACTGTCAGCGTTATTTTATTTACATTCAACAGGTTGTGTAAATGTATATCACAGGACGTTCCAGTGATGGCATAAAATGCATTGAAGGATTTTATCGATAAGATCTTAGGGTTGTTAATGTAATTACGTTTAGAATAACTTCACTATAGGGATAACAAATGGAAAGGACTGAAAGGATTTATTTTTATTTCTTCTTCTTCTTCTTTTTTTTCTTTCATTTTTCTATTCTTCTGTTTTCCTTTCATTTATCAAATGATTGTAAATCTTTTGATTAATAGTGTATAACACTTACCTGTACACTAGTAAATTTATTTTTCTTTTATAAATAGTATAAATAATTTTGATATTATATTGTACCTTTATTAAATTATTATTATTATTATTAACTAGCATTAGGAACTCGAAAGTTCATTGCCGCAAATACCAAATCCCGCCATTGTTCCCGTTCCTGAGCGCGATCCTTTCATTTGCGGTCTTCGTATCCTATTTCTTTCAGGTCCCTTCTAATATCATCCTCCCATCTACGTCTCGGTCCACCTAGTGGTCTTTTCCTGTTTGGTATACCGACTAAATTATAATATAATATATAATATAATATATTTATTAGTATATACATAGGTTGAAATTTAAATAATGGCAACTATTTATTCACAATCGATGCAAAAGGGTTACATGTTTGCACCTGTTACTGTCCTTCAAAGTAGTCACCAGCGTTGTGTAGAACCCGTTGTCAGCGATGTGGAAGGCGTCGTAGTATACCGTCAGAAGAGCCTGTTCTTGTTGATGGTGCGAATGGAGCGGTCTACTGCTATGTCTCATCCAGTGTTACGATACGGCGTAAGAAAGCCTCTCATTTGCGCTCATAGCGCTCCAAGTGCGTCTGAGCAGCGTCGTAGCCCATCCATTTCTGCATTTCCGTCAATTCATGTGGAACCCATCGTGGCATTCGCTTCAGAGCTGTTCCAAAGATTCGACAGGCAGTAGCCGCACCATTCGCACCATCAACAGAGCAGGCTCTGCTAACGGGTTCTACACAACGCTGGTGACTACTTTAAAGGACAGTAACAGGAGAGCACATGTAACTCTTTTGTATCGGTTGTGAATAAACAGTTGCCACTATTTAAGTTCCAACTTACGTATTTAAATTTGTTTATATAATTGATCTATGATTTAATTAAAGGTCCTAAACTTACGGCCCCAGAATCATCGGAAAGTAGTCCATCGTTACCGAACACGCCATTGCCTTCGGATTTTGATGAAACCGCGAAGGAAACTTTATCGCAAAAAGGTTCATCAACTGAAAATGAAATCGATACTGACACGTTATACTTTCGGTAAGAAATGATTTTTGTTTTTTATATTTTATCTTAAATCAAAATCATCTTTCTATATTTTGCTTGATATTTAATAATAATAATAATAATAATAATAATAATAATAATTATAATAATAGTAGTAATAATAATTGTTATCTCTCAGAACTATCGTCTATGTGTTTCTACACGCGAATTTCAAAAGTATAGGAAAAAACATAGAAAGCATTGAAAGATCCCTTTCATCTATTTCATTTATTTTTATCCTAAAGTTATTAGATAATTACTGGAGTACCTTTTTTTTCCGTAAAGCAAAGCTTACGAAAGGTTGAACTGAATAATTAAATGAAGAACTATAATCCCCCTTTCTATTTATAGCATGTGATAATAGAATATACCGAGAATAAAAATACATTATAGAATGAAAATGAAAAAGAGAAAGAGAAAGAGAGTTGTTTCATTTAAGCTAAAAATAAATCCACATTGTCAATTTAATTATCATTTTGATGATACCATCAAAATAAATGATTGAATGATATTTTCTTCAAGATATTAAATCAACATCAATAATTTTGATTTGTCTTTTAGCGATGGTCGAAGACGAATCGATATGGTGCTCGTTTATCGAGAAGAAAATGAAGGTGTCCTGACAGAATTAGAAACAAAAAGGAGAGAACAAAGACGGGTGTTTCAACAAAATCTTTTAACTGAGGGTTTGCAACTCGAATTAGAACCGAAAGAAAATTCATTCGATAGGAAAACATTCTTTCTCAAACTTCATATACCATGGAAAATAAAAGTACAATATGCCGAAGTTATGAATTTGAAGTTACCTACCAAAAGATTTATCACTATCTCTGTTAAAGCTTGGGTTAGTAGAACAGAAATGTTATTTTTTGACAAAATATTTCTTTTGTAATATTACTTATAGATATTGAATGTTAACAGGGTACAGATGGTACAAAAGGAAGGCCCAAATTTTGGGAAAAATTGTTAAAGTTGATTAGTTGGATACAAAAACTTCATCACTGGGATACCAATCAATATCCCGAAGAACCTAGTTTTTACGACAGCGTTGATTCTGGTGATCGTGAGGAAAGGTAATTAATTATATCAATATTTAATAAACTTCTGATTGATTTCTACTAATCAATACTTTATTACAATTATCAGATTCGTTGTAAAAGATCGAGGTACCGCGTACACCCCAGCCCAAAGATCATTAATAGTGATGCAAATATTATTGCGTGCAAGATACGACGAAACACATGAAAAAGCTGGGATTCGTAGACTTTTAGCAGACGGCACTTATCTTGATTGTTATCCCTTGCACGAAGGTTCATATGACAAACCAGAAGATAATGGGGAAATTTTAGATCGACATTTACTTTATTTGATATGGGCTAGTCCTATGCAATGGTAATAAAACCTTTGAACACAACTTTAATAATAAGTATAATCTTTGTTAATAACAATTATTTTATTTCTTTCTTTGTTTTTAGGTTTAAAAAACAACCATTGTGGTTGATAAGACGATACTTTGGTGAAAAAGTAGCCTTGTATTTCGCTTGGTTAGGTTTTTACACGGAATGTTTGGTTGCACCAGCTGTGGTTGGTTTTCTATGTTTCATATACGGTCTAGGAAGTATGGAAGGAGCCGATAATATTCCTAGCAAAGAAATATGTGATGATAAAATAGCTGGTAAATGATGATTCGTAATTATAAATAAGAAACAAATCTTCTCACATGAGCATACAAAATTTGTTATAAATTCATTTTTCATCATTTTTATAGGAAATATCACGTTGTGTCCGTTGTGTGATAAAGCTTGTAGATATCGAAAGCTTGGCGACTCTTGTATATTTTCTAAACTAACTTATTTATTCGATAATCCTGCGACTGTTTTCTTCGCCATTTTTATGTCTTTTTGGGGTAAACAATTTTTTTTATAAATAATTAAATAAATATGAAATATGAAGTGATATTTATAATGAAATTCCTTTTTGGTAGCAACGACATTCTTAGAATTATGGAAAAGACGTCAAGCCGTAATAGTTTGGGAATGGGATCTTCAAAACGCGGAAGAAGATGAGGAACCTAGGCCCGAATTCGAATCATCGGTGAAAACATTCCGCATTAATCCAGTTACCAGAGAACGCGAACCATATTTACCAGCATGGTCGAAAGCCATGCGATTTTGTGCGACCGGTTCTCTCGTATTTTTTATGGTAAAATTAATGAGCAACAAATATTTTTCTTTTTTTTTCTTTTGCAGCTGATATAACTTGAAATATTTATGTTATTTAGATATGTGTTGTCCTTGGAGCAGTCTTAGGTACAATAATATATCGAATATCACTCGTTTCCGTATTTTATGGCGGTGGTGAAACTTTCTTACAAAAACATGCTAAGATATTTACATCGATGACAGCAGCCTTGATTAATTTAGTGATAATTATGATACTCACTCGTATATATCACCGATTGGCTATGTGGATGGTTAACATGGAAAATCCGAGAACTCAAACCGAATATGAATCTAGTTTCACCTTCAAAATATTTCTTTTTGAGTTTGTTAATTTTTACTCTTCGTTAATCTACATCGCATTCTTCAAGGTACATCTGATAACATTTTATAATTTAATCATACCATTACTTTTTATTTTTTAAATATCTTCTTTTTTTTAATTATTAATTAGGGAAGATTTTATGTACATCCCGGTGATCAAGATGCCAGATCATCTGAATTCTTTCGTATAAAAACTGATGTCTGTGATCCAGCTGGTTGTCTCTCTGAAGTATGTATTCAATTAGCTATCATAATGATTGGCAAACAGTGTTTCAATAATTTCGTTGAGATTCTATCACCGAAATTTTGGAATTGGTGGCGCAAAAGATCTCACGTTGCTGCTACGAAAGATCATGATAGACGATATACTTCTTGGGAAAGAGATTATCAGTTGCAAGATCCTGGAAGACTAGCTCTTTTCGATGAGTATTTAGAAATGAGTAGGTTTATCTCGTTTTTCAACCCACGGGTATAAAACAAATAAATAAAAACGGACAATTATTAATATTATTATTTAAATTGTAGTTCTTCAGTATGGTTTCGTAACTCTCTTCGTAGCAGCATTTCCATTAGCACCATTATTCGCTTTATTAAATAATATTGCCGAAATAAGATTGGACGCTTACAAGATGGTGAAAGAAGCACGAAGACCTCTCGCAGAAAGGGTGGCAGATATCGGTGCTTGGCACGGTATTCTTCGTGGTGTCACTTACGTTGCTGTAGTGTCAAACGTAAATAATTTATTAATTAAATATATAAAATGTTATTTTTATATAAGTTTGATAATATAATTTAAGAGTAAAGTTATATAATAATACATTGCTAATTTTATAATTTTAATATTAAACCATTCCAATTAGGCATTTGTAATCGCTTATACCTCAGACTTCATTCCACGAAGCGTCTACGCATTTGTTTATTCCCCAACGGACGATTTAGTTGGTTACATCGACAGCTCTCTCTCTGAATTTAATACATCTGATTATCGTGACGACATGAAGAGTGATGCCGATGCTCAACATCCAGAAACATGCCAATATAGGGGATACAGAAATGGACCTGATCACGAATCAGATCCTTATGGATTGAGTCCACAATATTGGCATGTCTTTGCAGCTCGATTAGCTTTCGTAGTTGTTTTTGAACATGTTGTAAGTTTGACAAAACGTTGACATTACATTTACATTTAGTTGATTAATAATTATAATCACTTTCGTATAATTTAGGTTTTTGCATTAACTGGGATCATGAGTTACGTTATACCAGCTGTACCACGTGCCTTGGCAACTCAACTTCAACGAGAACGTTTGTTAGCTCAAGAAGCTAAGTATGAAAAAGGATTGAAGGGTAGAGAGGACGAAGAAGAAATACTTTCAGTATTAAGAGAAACTGGAAGTATAGGTAGACCTGGTGTTGGTGGTGCTGGTGCTGGTGGTCGAGGTAGTTGGGCAAGACGTTTCAGTAAATTGAGCGATGGTCTGGACGCCCACGTCGAAGTTGGTTCAAGGATGCACAGATACAGTGACAGTTCAACCGTTTGGGAAGTCACTTAAATAATTTACATTAAAAAATTCCTTTTTTTTTCTCTTAAAAATATCATCGATTTCGTTCATTCGGAAATCTTATTTAAAGATTATCAATCGTGATTTACATTATGTTAATTTTTGTATATACTATATATAGTAATTGCACTTTTAATATAAACAAAAAGACAATACATTTTTTCTTATCAGTATTTCTATTTTTCTCACACCGACGCTTTTGTCAATTTATTATCGCATTTCTATTTCTATGAATAGCATCTATAAATTATAAATGCTTCCGTCATATTTTATGATGTTTTGTGCACGTATGTAATACTGACAGTAATGTGAATGTTCATAATTTAAAAAAAAAAAAAAAAGATACATAAATATACAATCAATTAATCGATTGATATAATTTCTTAATGAATTTTTAAAAAATTAATGTTTCTGTGATGTCAAATAACGTATGCATATTTAGATATATTGTTACGTTTCTTATTGAAGGAATGTATGTAAAATACTAGGGACCAAATCTTAATTGACCGATGTTTAGTATAGTTCGTATATAATGTACACATTTGTGATCGAATTTATTTATTCCCGAACTGTTAACATTTTACGTAATTATAATATACAAATATATAATATATATTTTAATTTCTGTTTAAGAGTACATATTAATTATACAGTCCTATATCAACAATCCTAAATCTCACAAGAAGATATTACTATTGAACAACAACGGATTTTTACGAATTTTTGTATATAAGTAGTATATCTTTAAAGCGTTTTATTATTTATTTTCTTTGTAATTATTATAAAAATGCGCGCCTGTATGAATGCAACCCTCCAGACACACTTTGAAAATGTTGCTTGCGAGCGCCATCTGTCGGGACGGAATTTTTGTCTGCCCGAAATATAGGCAACCTGTCATACATACGTGTATAAACAGTTTTGAATGAAAAAAAATTCTGTCTCAGTAGATGGCGCTCGTAAGCACCATTTTCAAAGTGTGTCTAGAGGGTTGCATTAGAACAGGCGCACATTTTTATATAATTAAATTAATAATTAAATAAATAATTACAAATTAAAAGTACAAATAATATTATAATAACATTATATAATAAATTATCCTCGAAACTTGTTTATTTGAAGTGTGTAAAATTTAAAAACCATCGGAAGGTGTTCTACCTGACCATCCTCTGGTAAGATGATTGTGGTTATGCGAAAAATAACCTTATGAACTTTTATGTTTTTCTGTATTCTTTGGTACATTTCTACGTAATTAATCTATTATTTTCTAATAGATGGCAGTAGTGTAGTAAAAGGCAAATACAGTTTTCACATTTACACAAACTAGTCAGTGTTTCGTTACACCAGCTGCCTTTTTAAGTAAAAATTATGAACACGTTTAAAGTGACAAAGATACGGACTTTGGCACAATTTAATTGCATAATTATACATTTCTTTTAAATAATAATTTCTAATACTTGTTATTGATATTTGATTGTTAAAAAAAAAAAAAACTATTTTAAGAAAAAGAACACAAGAAAAACAAAAGAAAGAAGCAATGTCAACTCGTGATCCTGACAATCTTATGACCATGAACGAAGAGAATTTTGATTATTTATTTAAAATCGTTCTTATCGGTGATTGTGGAACTGGAAAAACGTGTGTTGTTCAAAGGTTTAAATCTGGTACTTTCATTGAAAGACATGGAAATACTATTGGTGTTGATTTTTCGATAAAAACTGTCTTAATAGATGGTAAAAAAGTTAAGGTATATAAATTCATATACTTGTTATATTATTATACTGTAAAAATGTATTATTAATCTTGACTGTGTTGTTCTGTAAATGAATATTTTCCACATAAATACAAAAATGTATATTTTTCTATAATGTATTATGATTATTATTTTATTTTAAAAGATTGATATCAAAATGATGATCTCTATTGTTTACAGTTACAAATATGGGATACAGCAGGACAGGAGAGATTTCGTACCATTACCCAAAGTTATTATAGATCTGCTGATGGTGTAATTATTGGTTAGTATTATACATCATTGTTATAATGTATTTAATACATATATGTGCTACTACTATAATTAGATGTTTCTAAAGGAATATCCTTTTTTAGTTTATGATGTCACTAAACGCTCTACGTTTCTAAGTTTGCAACGGTGGGTGGAAGAAATAAGAAGGTATACATCTTCTCACGTTTTACTCCTTTTAATCGGTAATACTTTAAAAATACTTATGAGTTACTTATTGTTATGAAAATTTATTGTTAATAGTATCTTATGAATATCGTTTGTTAAAGGTAACAAATGCGATTTGGAAGATTTGCGAGAAGTTGAAAAAAGTGAAGCTGAAGCGTTGTGCGAGTATCTTCCAGAAGTTTTACAAGTCATAGAAACGTCTGCCAAAGAAAATACAAACATAGATGCCGTCTTCTTCTGTTTAGCATCCGAACTCAAGGTAATTTAATTATTGGTTTAAATAATAATGTTTACTATGATACAATGATAATATCTTTATGTATTGTTTATCTTCTTCAATATTGTTTATTCATTTTTTTTCCAGAGACGATATGATAATTGTCAAATAAGCGATAACGAGGATATTATTAAACTCGGAGTAGGAAAAGAATTATCTTCTTGCCCTGGTTGTTCATATAAAATATTTTAAAAAGTACCTTTTTCTTTTTTTTGGATACTACACAGACTGAGATACATAACAATAATTCTAAATGTGCAACGAAAATAAAAATATAAGATAATTATGGTACATTGATGGTAATGTTTGATCATAGAAAACGAAAAATTCTAACAAGCTAATGCTTTAAGCGGATTTTATACTTAATTATTATTTTATTTGAAATACTAGAGAGATATTTTGAAATGAAAAATTTTAAATAATAACCTTGTGACAAAATAATAATTCATTTTGTAAATATATAATATTTGTTACATCTATTATATAGATTCGAAAAAAAAATATTATTAATACTTAATACTATAGTTACCTGAACAAGTCTTGTATATTATTCAGTGCCTTATCAAATATTGTGTATATATACATATGAACAAACTATTTATCTATCACGCGTAAAAGCTTGTGTTCATTAATGACAATGATTAAAGAAAATAGACAAAAAATATTACGAAAAAGTATTTTAGGTATTTCGTAATAAAAAGAAGAAAAAAAAGAAAAAGAAACGCATAATAGAATAATTATAAAGCAAGTTATAATATATGCAAGATTATGAATATTTTGAATAACTTTTTTACCTAAGATTTTTCAAATGAGCTCAACAAAATTGATATATTTATTTGTTACATTGTACTAGTTCGAAATACTGCTTTTTCTATATATATACATGTACTGTTATGTATTGTTATGTATTACACATATGTGTTAAGAAGTAATTTATTTTTAATTTGATTCGAATCTCAAGAAATTCAATCTACATTATGTATATGTGTACAAACTTTTTATGTACATAAACATTTTTTATTAAAATGTTTATCATTAATCAATATATTGATTATTAAATATTAACACATTCGTTATCAGTGGTTTCACATATCTGTGACACACAAATTTTTATTAAAAATTTAACATCACAAATTTGTGACAGTAATTAACGCAAACAATAATAAATTCTGAGCTGTAATTAGAATCTCTTTTACGTCGCACGACAGCGAACTTGTTATTAATAAAATAGCGCACAAAAATAATTATTTTATTATATTCATCTTATTTGATCTTGTTGATATATATATATTGTTATTTTTATGTATTTTTTGTAGAAATGAAATTGTTATATAAAGTATAGAGCCAATAATATAATATAATATCATAATAATAATATAATTGAATATTTTTATACCTATAGCAATAATAACAAATAAACAATTATATGCTCTCTAATATTTAATTTAATATATATATATATATATTTATAATTAGTGAATGCTGTAAAAAAAGAATAAAATAAAACACAAAGAATAAAAGTATGAAATACGCAATATTTTTTATTACAAAAGAAAATATTTAAAATCAAATTTTTTTGTATAAAATTTCACAAGAATAAAATATATTTTTTTTGTATAATAATAATAATAATAATAATAATAATAATAATAATTGATTAATGGTACAAAATTTTTGCCTCATAAAAATTCATCTTTTAATTGTTTTAATTCAAGCTAATTATATTCTTTTTATCTGCAATCAATAATATATACATGTTTTTTATTGAAATACATTTTCACAGTAATTTGAATAAATTATTTATAAAAAAAAAAATGTCATGTACGAGATGCCCTATATACATATATAAATGTTTTATTTCACTTGTAATATTTGTTGCAAAATCTTATTGTAATTCATCAAAAATAAATTAAGAGGTAGAAAAACTTGATTAGTAAATTTATATAAAGAAAGAACTGAATATTTCTATTCTATTAACCCTTTCCCTCTGACAGGCGTATATATACGTCCTCGAAGAATGACAATTTAAATACGAAAAACGTATATGTATGATCTCGAAAAGTAGACGATCAAATACGAAAGAACAATGCCCTTTGTATTCAGTAATCATATTTTGTCACAATGATAACAGAACGAAAGGGTTAAAAAGAAAATTACAAACTAAATTCACGTTTATAAACACTGTCTTTTTTGTTTTGTTATGTATTATTGTATTAACAAGTATATTATATTTTATTATATATATATATTTTGATATAAGGTACTTTTAATGTATAAGAAATTATGATTCGAGTTCGTTATATCTTTTTTTCTAAGGCACTTTTACAAAGCAAAAAAAAAAAGATATCGTATTACCATAAGGTTTATTTTTCACATGGTCAACAGCTTTTCAACAATTTCAGAATAATTATTTTTTAGTGTTTCTAGATAATGAATTTCTTAAAAAGTTTTTATCTTATAAAATACTTTAATATATTATTAATTACTACCTAAACAAGTTGTAATTTTTAATTTTTCTGTTTATCTTCAAAGAAATGAATTATTTACAATCTATATTTTTGTTCGGAATTTATTATTTCAAAATTGATGTTAAATATATAAATATTCATATAAATTATTAAAAATGTATTATATTTTTATCAATTTATTTTCAGTAAATTAAGATATCATTAGAAAAAAAAAGAATTGTAATTCTAAAATAACATCTTGCAACATTTGATACAATCACTAGTATAATAATAGTTTCTTTTCTATTTACATTATTCATATTAGTAAATTGTATTTTTTTTTTTTTTATAAAAATTATCTATTAAAATTATATGAGATATTTTATTAAAAAAGATAGGTACAAATTCTAAATAGAAAATATTTCTTGAAACTATATACAGATGCATGTATTGTGCTACAATATATCTCATTGGATAAGTTTCAAGTATATTTAACTTAACACATCTTGTGCGGATACTTTGCTGCCAAAGTCTTGCTGTATAGCGGACGATTGTTTACAGTCTGGACACAAAATTCTTATTGCATAAAATAACTGTAGTTTCTAAACATTAGATTTTTGTTTTAATAAAACTTGTATTTTCTCTTTAAAAATCACACACAATGTATTTATTCCCTCTAAAAAAAAAAATAAATAAAAAACTAGGATAATGAAAAATTTAAAAATGTTTCAAAGTATGATATCGTTCAAAACAATTTTAGTTGCTTCCCGTGCACAAGATGTGTTCATTTAACCAAGTTAAACTATAATAAATTGTTTAAAGAAAGCTATTGACTATTTGGTATTCTTTTATAAGTTCTTCGATATTTGTCATCTACTTTAACAAGATAGTAAGTACCAGGGAACATATGGTTGATGTTACTTGTAGGTTCGTAAGATTTGCTGTGATAATTTTGTTCTCTTAATTCTAATATGCTAGTAAAGTCTTCCGGTGCTATTTTTTGTCTTTCTTCTAATTGCAATTTAACGTAATCTAACATTGAAATAATTTTCATTAATTTAGATTCATTTTGGATATCTTTTGTTATTGTCAACGAATACATACTGGAACATAAACCTGAACCATACGAAAATACGGCTACTTTATTGCCAGCTAATTCGTTTATAGGCTTAGATATAAGTAAAGATACTAATCCGGAATAAACCGATGCTGTATACATATTACCGACTTGATTAGCTAAAAATAAACTAGGTTCAGTTTTATCTGTAAAATTTGATTTGCTTAAAGTTACAAATGCTTTTTCGATATCTTTATCAAAATACGTATTTTCTAACTTAACTCCATGAAATTGTTCTAACTCTTTGTACTTTTCAGAAACATCTGCTTTAGATGTATTTAAAAAATCAACAAACGCTAGTCTGGCAAATGATTTTTGTACAAGTTTACAATACGGAGAATGAAATAACATAGCGTCGAAGTTGTTCAAAGTAACATTTTCATCTGGCTTTTTTGATTTAACTTTTTTACAGTACAATTGATAACAACTATCCAAAGCATGAAGGTAACATTGAATGGATAATTTTCCATCGACGTATGGATACTCTGAACGTAAATCAGGCTTATAAAAATCATATGCATGTTGCATATATGATGCGCGTAGTCCACGATCTAATACAATTGGTGCATCTGGACCAATGATCATAGCAATAGCTCCAGCTCCACCGGTAGGTCTTGCACTACCTGGTGAATAAACAGCACTATCAGCTGCAACAACCAATGCTAATCTTCCATCCCATGCACTGCTTTCTACCCAAGAAATAGCATTGAATAAAACTGCTGTACCACCATAACAAGCGTTAGTACAGTCTACACCTTCGATATCCGTACAACCAAATGGTTCAAATAATTGCATAAGAACAGACTTAACTGATTTGCTCTTATCTATTATTGTTTCAGTTCCAACTTCCAATCTACCAATTTCTTGTGGTTTAATTCCATACCTGTCCAATAATCTATGGACGACAGTTAAACATAAGGAATTAATATCTTCTCTGTCATTGCAAAATCCCATTTTAGATTGTCCCAGTCCTATGGTGTATTTTCCTGTTGATACACCATCGTAAGCTTCCAATTCTGTTTGATCGACATATTGAGCTGGGAAATAAACTTCAATAGCTCTGATACCAACGTCATTAGGCCACATCTTCAATTCTTCCAAGAATAATATTTAAATATATATTTATACGTATGTTGACAATCTTCTGTTTTGTATAAAAATTGGTATTATATATATATACGGTATTATATACCAAATATAATAAAATAATTATATATCTGGTATATTATTTAATGATATTACATATAAATATACATACAAATTCTTGATGACAAATAGATTTCTTAGCAGTGGTACGTTCAATTAATTTATTCCTTCAGCTTTTATGTAACATTTAAGAAAGAGGACACTTTCTTTTTTTAATTCATTCACCGGTTTTCCAACGATATTACTTTCTTTGTGATAATAAATTACTGTCTTACGTTTTTCGAAATATATTAGATTCCTCGATGAAAATTATAACAAATGTTTAATAATAATAATAATAATAATAACAACAATAAACTTTGTTAACACACAATTTGTAGATTTAACTTCACGTTTTACTTGTTGGTTAGTTGGTTGTTTGATCTGAATGACTGACTGACTGACTGACTAGCTGCTGGCTAATTGCCTGGGTACCTGGGTGAAAGAATTTAGGTTAGAAGTGAAACTTTGACTATAAATGAAAATCTACGGTTGTTGGCACGAATTTACGTGCCGTTACAAAAGATGGTACCTTCCTCGACACATGTAAGTCAATAGTATTTCTCACTTCCAATAATCAACGTTTTTCGTTTCCTTACTCTACGAAAGTTCACGAGTGAATGCGTTCCTTATACGATTCCTCTCGTTTATCCTCGTTTTACGAAGGCCACGCGCTTATACCGTTCTGACGTACATAGTAAGTGGGGCGAACCCTATCGAATTCACTTATTTATATTATTATTATTATTATTATTATTATTATTATTATTATTATTATTATTATTATTATTAGTAGTAGTAGTAGTAGTAGTAGTATTTTTATTTATAGAATTTTTATGTTAATTTTGTTTTCTATCTTTATTCTAATTATTTGTATCGTCAGCTATCGAAATTTTATTTTTTCATCGTTCCATTCTATTACATTCTTCTTTTTATTTATTTTCTTTTATTTATTATTATTTTCTTATTATTTATTATTATTTCTTTTTATTTATATCGATTATATTCTTCTTATTATTTATTTTTATTTTTTATTATTGGTATTTTGTTCTTAATTTTATTATTAATTTCTTTTTTTCAATTTAACAGTGTATTTTTGTATATTATTTTTTTTCGACAACGAACTCTACATTATTTTTCTGTATATATTTTTATTTTTGATTTTATTTTAATTTTTAAAATCTTTTTCTTTTCTTTTATTTAATTTGTTGTTTTTAGTTCAAAGTTGTAATGTTTTTTTTTTTTTTTTCATTATTTTCCATTAACGGAAAATGACATTCTTATTCCGGTTTTACGTCTTTTCATAAGCGATTTAAGTTTTTATTTAATACTTATGACTTTTTCTGCATAAACAAGTATAAATATATTCAATGTCGAACAAAAGTTTTTACACATATGGAATTATATTTACATTACTTTTTATATATCAGTTATAACAATATAATTTGTTATTTAATTTCTTTTTGCAAATTTTACACATATCTCTCGGAAGTCTAAAGTTTAAGTACATTGTAAGTCATGGAGATTAGATATAAGTACAAAAAAAAAAAGAAAAGAATCAACTTTTAATAGTTAAAAGTAATGTCCAGTTAAAATAATTTAACGCTACTAAAAAAATTTGTAATTTTTATTATTATTATTATTATTATTATTATTATTTTTATTATTTTATTGTATACCAATTTAATCTTACTAAAATTTCGTTAAACTTTAAACTCGAGAGAGATTTATATTTAAAAAATAATTTAAAAAAATATAATTTTTTAATTATTTTATTATATTATTTATAATTTTAATTATAATAATTATAATATATATTGTAATATTTATATAATATATTGTAATATATAATATTTATTATAATATTATTATAATTATATGTATATATATTTTTATTTCATTTTTATTTATTATATTAAATAAATTTTAATATATTTAATTATAATTATTATAATTGTTTAATTATATATTTAATATTTTTAATTAGATTTTAATGTAATCTCTATCGAGAAATATCTATATGCTATTTCTAATTTAAAAAATATGCATTCTCTCTTGAGCAATCATCAACTTGTCTTTGAAACGACTTAAATCACATTGATGTAATAAGTGGCAACGATTAGAAATTTTACTATTTAAATAATTTATGTATAACTTGTTTATTCTACTTGATCTAACGATATCGATTATTAATAAGAATAAAAGATATGGCATTGAAAATAAAATAGAAAGTATTAGAATTATAATAAGACTTTCTTAAAATCGTAAAAAAAAATTCATGATTTTTGATTATCAATATATATGCCCATAATTATGAAAGTGGTCTAAGTCATGTATCTCTTGTTTCGAGATATTTCAAGTTTTATAACAAATATATAGAAATAATAAGCATTATCTAGCGATTCATTTTTGACAATATCGTTTTCAAATTACATTGAATTTATTTAGTTTAAAATAATATTGTGCTTAATAACTAGTAAACTCATTTTTTTTTTAATTTTTTTAACTTAGATCACTTACATAATTGTGGGCACATATATAGTATCTTTCGTCTAATTCAATCACTTAAAATATCTTATTTATTTCGTACGATGAAAAAAATATTCTATTCGAAGACGTCGATACAATGATGAGACAAAATGTTTTTTTTAATTGTCATATTTATCAAAATTTCAAAGTCATCGTATTTTTTTGTTTTTTAAATGGGATTGTATATTATTATTACAATATTCTTATTTCTTATGAAAGAAACTAATCCGATAATTTGCAACGTGTTGACCTTCAGGTGACTTTTACCAAAAAAAAAAAAATTGTGAGATGTTGTTTCTTGTACATGAGAACATATTTTTTTGCTTGTAGAGTGGTTTTACAAGTTGATTTACTTTTATTTCTTCATTTACCGTCCTCCGAACGCGTACCGAAGTTTCTGGTAAACATTTCATCATAATTTTGCAGATCAAAATGTTTCACATTGTTGCATTTGTTTTGTTTTTTTTTATAAGCTATAAGAATATTGTAGCAAAAATATACAGTCTTATTAAAAAAAAAATACGATGACATTGAAAATTTGAAAAACATAACCTTAAAAAAAAATCGTTTCATCACTATTATCGATGTAGATCGTATAGAATATTTTGTCCCTTTGAAATTTGTGTCTATCGTACGAAATAATCGAAATATTTTAGATGATCGTATTAAAGAGAAAGATCCTGTATAAAAGCTGAAAGTAAGTATGTCAGATAAAATTGTATTGTGAAAGCTGTTTCGAAACGTAATCGGAATTCTTATCCACTACAATTATAATAGAATATCTATTTTTGTTGATGTCATTCATACATTAGATTTTCATTAGAATTTGTTATAACCCTAGTTATTTTCTTTTTTTTTTCTTTGTATTATTTCTTGTCAATAAATGCCAATTGATAAGAATTTCTTTTCATAATATTTCTGTGCTCTCTTTTTACTGTATTTTTTTTCTTTTTCTTTTTCTTTTTCTTCTATTGTTCCTTTGTTCGTTTTTCTAATATAAAATGACAAGCATTCTAAAAAATTTGAATAAAAATATGAATTATGTATTTTTATTTTTGTAAAGTCAACAAAGTAGCCTTCAAATATAAATTATATTATACATGTATTCTTCATTGTTGAAATCTATAAATTATTTATTAGATTGAATTATCAAAAGCATGGACTACGTAGTCAATATGACGGAAGATTTTGTAATATATTATATATTACTTCAGTACAAACATATTATTTTTTAATCAAAATAAGAAATATCGGTATTTAATTTAAATGAAACGTTGAAAAAAAAATTTTATTTTTACAACTAGATATACCAGCAGATCAGTCATTTTGACTGGTCGGGCCATTTTAATTCAAAATTTCTACTTCATATAACATTTGAGTTTTGTAAATAATTAAACGTTTTGTTATTTAAAAATGTCTATAAATTCATTTATCTATTAAAATTATTATTGTTAAACATTTTTTGTTATTTTTTTAAAAGTAAATAAAGACTGGAAGCTTCAATAGACTGGAAGTCATTTTGACTGGTGTGGTAGAAATAAATGTACTGAAAATGGTGGTATATCTAGTGTTAAACGGATTTAAAAAAGTTTATATAATCATGAAAATAATTTATACATGAATTTTATTCAATTTATAAGTATCCGGGCAATAATGTCAGAGGCGGATTTAAGCATGGTTTTTATGGATGATTACTGTCCAAGGCAAACCATATTCACGATAAAAAAAAAAAAATACAAATAATTTAAATAAAATATTTAAAAAACAGTACTTATACAATATTTTATTTTACCAAAATAAAGTTGCTCAACTCCTAAACGCACAATTTTTTTGAAAAAAACCGGCCAAAAAAAATCAATTTTTTTGTTATGTAAAAAAACAGTTTAGAACATATATAATTTATATTATATATATAAATATTTTATATACTATTATATAAAATATAATAATAAATTTTCCTATTATATAAAAAGGTAAAAAAATAGTTTTTCGACAAAATGGCAAATGAGTCGTCAGGACTAATCCAAATTTAGATTAATTTGAATTCATTGAATACAGTGTATTAAACCGTGTTATTTTACAGCCTTAGGTCCCAAAATAAACAATTCGTCTCTTATGTAATCTCTATTAATAAATAAAAAATATATTCATTATATTAATTGTCATAAATATATTGCTTGTAAAATAAAAAAAAATCTATTGAAATAAGTTAACATCCTTTTTATTATTTTGTTTATAATTTACAAAAATTTGTATAAATCATTTATAATTAAAATAATTATCAAAACAAATTAATACGTAGAAATAATCAATGTATAAATAATATACTGAAATTTTTAAATATTACATGAATATTAACAGATTGTAATTTAAAAATAGAAATATCGTGGTTACACGATACTAAACATGTTGTTTCAAAAAATCGGTCTTAACATTTTACTTCATTACTTTTCATATAGAACTCATTAAAAAATATCATTAAACAATATTACTTTTTCAAATAGATAAAGTTATTTTTTTTTAATTATTACCAATAACGTATTACTAGGATAAGATCTATTATCTATGCCACAATGTGACATGTATTTCTGTTGAAATGTAACCATCAAAAGTTTTCGAAATTTCGAAACTTTAACACATTATTGATGAAAGGAAGACCCGAATTGAGGTGTTTTAATTTGTAAAAATAAAAAAAAATATCTCAACAAATGATTATAATCACACATAGTCAGGTTATTGTACTTACAAAAATAATTATTGTTATTCACCGATTGTTTTAAATAAAAGATTTCACTTAATAAAATATTTACATCAATTTTTTCTTTTTTTTTTAAATAAGTACATGCATAATTGAAATATTTATGTTTTTTTTTTTTTTTTCAAAAAATATACGATAACTTAGGTCAATTTTATTTTACAGTATACCGTTAAAAATGCATGATTGATATGTTATTAATGGCAGCTGTGTACTATGCATATATATATATATATAGGTAATTGCAGCTATATTAAACGAAAAAAAAAAAAAATAAGAGACAAGTGTAAAATTCATCAGGGCTTCTCAAAATGTGATTCCATAATTCTATATGGAGTCATGCAAATTTAATATATGGTCAAATTATATCGTACGTATATAAAAGAAAATTGTTCTGTTTTAGAATTTATT